AGCGAAAGGCGGCTCAAACTGGCGGCCTTCGTTCCCCTACACCCACACCTCTTGCTTGACCCTGATGATAGTAAGTTGATAGTAAGTTTCAGCTCAGAGCGGATTGGATTGGTGCGCGTCCGTTTCGCAACGAAACGCGCTATTTCGCAGTCTGCATCTCTTCACTCAACTCTATCTCGCTGAGTCACTGACGATGCGGACGCGCTGCTCCACGTGAGATGTTCCGCCTTTTCCAGTTTAAAAAGACTGTGTCAGAAAATGCGCCTCGAGCTGATCAAATGGTGCCATTGGATTAAGATTTCTGCCACACTGAAGCGAGATATGGCCGCATTAACTGGTGTTTAACTTAGGTGACCTTCGCCTTTTTTGCAGAAATTATAAGGTGTTAAGAAGTTTGTTTTGAATAAAACTTGCTTGACTTTATTTCTACAAGTCCTTTCTAAGCAAGCATGTATGATACATAGCACACATGATTTCTTACATATTAAAACTATGTGGCTGTGCGAGTTCCATTTCTTACTGTTAGTCTTTGCTACGTTTTATCCACACAGTCGCAGCACATCAGCCTCGGACTCGTTGATTGCTCTGGCAAGTGCGACCCAAAGGGTCCAGTGAATTCTGATCGTTGCGCATGTAGGGCAAATGGAGGTGATCGCGAGTAAGGTTGGAAGTAGGGAGAAGCGGGTGTCCAAGTCGCTTCCCCTACTCGAAAGGGCTGCTGGTGTGGCTTATATGGCCGAAATTTTGACTTCCAAATTTGAGTTTGAGCCAGATTCTTCTTCTGTCCTTCCTTCTTTTTCTCCCTCAAGGGGGCAGTCAAGATTGGTGCAAACGCTTGCCTGGTTTCGCCTTTCTTGTGATGATCGTAGAACTCCCACACATCTGGATCAGAGTCCGCGACTATCAGTAGTTTGTTCCTTTGCTTCAAGAGAATGACGGCTTTCGTGAGTTGTTGCTTGATGTCGAATTCGTGGGGAGCCATGTCGGCTATGGGTGAGAGAATCGATAACAGATCAGAATTGAAATCAAGTTGTCGATTCAACTCGGGTTTGATATATGTTGGCTTGTTCGATGAAGTTAGTGACGGTTTGTAGCTGGATAGCAGGAGGGTAGTAGATGTGTCGGCAAAGACACTGTCTAGATCCTCTCTTCTTACCTGAACTAGGTCCTCCGCTGTCTGTGACTCTGGAATTGTAGGCTTGAGACTGAGTAGTAGACGATCTAAGATTGGAATGGACTTATGAAGTTCATAAGGCAAGTACATGGGCCACGATGGCACCCTGAGTTTGCTTCCAGAATTCATAAAACCGCTTCATTCTTGTTATGAGTGGCAAGTCCAAGATTTTTATCCTTGCCACAGTATTTGGTCCCAAAATCTTCTTTTTTTGAGGAAGTCATGGCT